CCATGATGGACTCGTATGTTTCGACATGGTCGACCGGATCTTTCATCCCATCGTACTTGTCAAAGGTCGGTAGCCTGCTCTTCTGCAAAATAAGGGCATCCAGGATGTCCTGAACAAAGGGCGGCTCATCCGACTCATCATCTTCTGTGAATTTCCCAGCTTTCTTCAGGTCCCTTTAACTCGCTTTCCAGCTCTCTCTTCAGCTGGTCAAACTGCACTTTTAAGCTTATGTTACCTACAGACTCCTCTAAATGCTTCTTCTCAAGGCCCCCAAGTTTTGGACCTCGGGTTTTGCTTTGACCGACAACCTTAGGGGGTTGCAAGGAGAGTTCAGGTCGGAGATCATCTGGTCTTGGTAGGTCATTGCCTCTCAGGACCAACTTCAAAATTGGCACTTCAGCTCGTTTCTTCTGAGGGTTCTCGCTCACCTTCTCCTTCCCTTTCCTCGGGTCGTGCTGGATCTCGGGCAGCGGGACCTCATTTAGCAATGCCTCAGTTGCTTGCATCTGCTCGGACGACGGCACTTCTACTGGTGTAGACTTGGTCTTGCGAGCACCTGCTCGGGTCTTCGGCTTCCTCTAGAGTGGTGGGCACTCCAACTCCCTTCCTAGCCTGTCGTTGGGCAAGTCACGATCTCCATTTTCATTCTCATTGCTTCCTGAATGGAAACCATTGCCTTCAACCATTGTTAGAGTAAAAAGAGCTTACTATGTCGGTTCCCACAGACGGCGCCAAATATTGATGTTGTTTTGCAACTGAGCTCACACGTCGATGACGAGCTGACATGGACGACTAGCCGAGGTGCTCCAAGTGAACCTGCACAAGGAACAAACACTCCGATGTCGAAGTCAATGCGAGCTCAAAAGCCTTAGGTTGTTTTCAGAGAGAATTGCATACCTGGTGAGTGAGGGGAGTGTTCCTTTTATAGGCAGGCGGAGGGGGACAAGGTCGTTTAGTTGGTACGACATGCAGTTATGGCTGTTGGGCTCTCAGGTCGGTGGTCTGACCTAAGGTCAGATTCCTCAGGTCGACTAGGATGAAATGTCATCTCAGCTCGGTCCAAAGCAGATCGTTGAGCTCCRTTGGTTTATTTGCGGTGAAAGGGTTGTCTCGAACTGAGATTATACTAACACTTGTCGGCCTGATTTTTGACCACCAACATACAGTTTCGTTGGGTTTTATGGTAGAAATTTTATGAAGAAACTGTTGGTTTTGTAATGGCTGTAAATTGTAAGCAAAATGTGAAAAGAAGTTAATTTGTGTTTCCTTGGTACAGATTAAGAAAAACCATGTGGGCTGAAGGAAATTTCAGAAAAGAATAAGGTATGTGAGGGAGGAAGGAGAAAATTCGTGGGTTTGAAGAAGAAGAGGAAAGTGAAGAAGAAAGGAGGAGAGAGAATAGAGTTTTTGATGCGTGTTGAAGGAAAGAGAGAGAGAAATTATTGGATTAAAATTAAGTAAGAAAAGAAAAATAAATTGTGTAAAAGGAAAAATAAAATGTGTAGTTAAGTGAGAAGTTGAAAATAAGAGAGAAATTGAATGGGTTTTTTGTGGACCCACCTGTAAGTATTATGAGAGAGAATGAAAGTGATATGCGACAACCAAAGCGTATTGAGCTACTCGAGCCACAAGCCACTTGAATCCAATCATATAATTGGTTCAACCCGAAAGGCTAAGAGTTAGAGGGATTGCCTTTACAATCGTTACCTTGAGCAGACAGAATAATCACTATGCTCGAGGCCGGAAACACTCCATGATTTTGATGATCAATCAAACAAGCATGCTCTTAGGGATAAATATTGAAAACCTAAGTTCAACCACACAAAGGAATTCGATATTTGGGAGGGGTTTTGCACACGACAAAGGGGTTGAAATAACACTCAATTTCTATTCAAATTCAAATGTTCTAAGGTGCTCCAACATGGAGAGGGTTCACACTTATATATAGGCTAAGGCCCTTGGCCTTTTAAGGAAAATAACAAAAATAAAAATATTACAATAATTTGATAAATTCCTAAAAGTTGCTAAACTTATGTAAAGTTGAAATTAAAATTGTAAAAATCAGAAAGAAATAAAACAAAAATCAAAATCAAATCAAATTCCACCAAATAAACCATAATATCAAGGAAATATTTTCATTAAGTGGGATGGAGTGGCGGCAAGG